TTCTTATTATTTTGTAGCTCACCCCTAATATTTTTCAGTTCATCCCCAGTATTTTCTAGTTCCTCTCCAGTATATTTTAGCTCATCCCCAGTATTTTCTAGATTATTCCTAACTTTTCTTAGCTGATCCCTAATATTTTCTAGCTCATCAGCAGTATTTTCTACATTATTCTTCTTATTTTTTTTAGTTCATCCCATATATTTTGTTAACACATCCCCAATATTTTCTGGATTATTACTATCATTTTCCAAGCTCATCCCTAATATTTTCTAGCCTATCCCCAGTATTTTCTAGCTCATCCCCAATATTTTCTACATTATTTTTATTGTTTTTTAGCTTACCTCTAATATTTTCTAGGTAATCCCCAATATTTTCTAGTTAATCCCCAGTGTTTTCTAGATCATCCCCAGTATTTTCTAGATTGTTCCTATTTTTTTCTAGCTCATCCCTAATATTTTCTAGCCTATCCCCAATATTTTCTAGCTCATCCCCAATATTTTCTACATTATTTTTATTGTTTTTTAGCTTACCTCTAATATTTTCTAGGTAATCCCCAATATTTTCTAGTCAATCCCCAGTATTTTCTAGATCATCCCCAGTATTTTCTAGATTGTTCCTAATTTTTTCTAGCTCATCCCTAATATTTTCTAGCTTATCCCGAGTATCTTCTACATTTTAAAAATCATTTTTTGTTCATCCCATATATTTTTTAGCACATCCCACATTATTTCTGGATTATTCATATTATTTTCCAGCTCATCCCTAATATTTTGTAGCTCATCTCCAGTATTTTTTGGATTATTATATTTATTTTCTAGCTCATCCCTAGTATTTTAAAAATATTTTTCCTATTATTTTCTAGGCCAACCACAGTGATTTCTACATCATTCCTTTTTTTTTCTAGCTCATACCTTATATTATTTAGATCATCCCCAGTATTTTACAATTATTTTTAATGTTTTATAGCTCATCCCTAATGCTTTCAAAGTTATCCCCAGTATTTTCTACATTATTCTTTTTGTTTTTTAGTTCATCGTTTATATTTTCTAGCCCATCCCAAATATTTTCTAGATTATTCCTATTTTTCCCCCTGCTCATCCCTAATATTTTTTGGCTTATCCCCAGTATTATTTGGATTATTATAATTTTTTTTCAGCTAATCCCTAATATTTTCTAGCTCATCAGCAGTATTTTCTACATTATTCCTAGTACTTTTTTTAGTTCATCCCATATATTTTTTTTAGCACATCCCAATATTTTCTGGATTATTCCTATTATTTTCCAGCTCATCCCTAATATTTTCTAGCCTATCACCAGTATT